CATTTGTTTTTTATTTCAACACGAAAACGCCAGAAATTACAACTGTTACGTTTGTTTATTTTAGCTTTTTCTTCTCGACACGAGGTGGCGCATCGTCGCAAGCCGTCTAAAACGTGTTCCATTACTCGGTCCACAGTGGCTCGGTGCTGTCTTCTAGGCAGCCTTCGTAGACTGTCTAAGGGCTGTCTAGGAATCAGAACACAACCTATGTCGCCATAATTCTGTAATAGAGCAATACTCGGTCATGCCTCGGCCGCAGTTGTGTTCCCTTTAACAGTAGACCTATCTGTATATACCTTCAGCGCCACTTCGTAAGTTTCGTTCGGTAATAAAATAACGCCACACAACATATATCCGCATGCTTCGCAGAAACCCTAACAATAGCAATCAGAGAGCCTACGATGCGGCGGTCAGGCGTAGCCTGCCTGTCCCCCTGTCGAAGTCGCGTTTCTCAAGACTACATATGAAGTTCTCCCACCCAACCACTGCAGGCCACACGCTGAAACCGGGTGAAAGCCAGCAGAGGTCATCCTAGATAAGGGCCGCCAGCCTGAATCGGCGAGCCAGCCACCCCACTTTGACGACTAAAGCATAGCAGCCATAGTTTAAGGCATTCTTACCCTGTGACCTAAGGTCTCTTCCGGACTTTGTCCTTAGCTGCATCCTGTGAAAAGGTCTGACAAAGGCGACAAAGCCATTAGGCAGGACGCCGATGAGTCTCTTGAATGTCTTGCTCGACTTGTATTGGCAGTACGTTGTAGACTGTAGGGACAAGGATGATGACACCTCGCACTGTATTTCCGAGGCATCCAGAATTATTGGAGTCGATGAATACTTTCTCTTAAACTCGGGTGGCATTGTGGCATCTACAATTCTTCAAGGAGCTGACAGAGGTAACAGGCCTAGTTTGGCATTCAAGAAATTAATCCCCGATGTGCATATTATGGACACAGTTGACTGGGCAATGGACAAAGTGTGAGCTAACTAATCTTCACACAGGCCGAGGTGCAGTCCAACTAACACCAAAAACAGCTCATTTTCCGTGCTTAGGTTTCTCTTCTGCCCTCGCGATGATCTAGGTTCACTGCTTTTCACACGTTATGTTCGTAGAACGTTGCACCCATCATCACCGAGGTTCAAGTAGACCAGAAGTTTCGTGAAGTTGTAGCTTGGCAGCCGAGTGTAAAATAGCATGTCTCTGTCACAGTCATTGAACCATTCCACTGTGAAGGGAGCCGTTCATTCTTTTCCAGCAGCAAGTTGGCAACTCAAGCACGCCTTTTGCAAGCGCAGTTGCCCGATGATTCCTTTTGCAGCAACAAGCTCCTCTTGATTTGGCAACACTGGTCTCGGAGCTGCGCGTTTTTGTTGTTTTTCTGTTTTATCGTTTCGGCCAAACATGCAGTTTTGCCTTCAAGTGGGCTATTGAGCCTAGTGGTTTCCTCTAGACCTACCGGTGTGGCCTCTCCTTCATCTGGGCTCTGCATAGGCTCATCGCCTAGCCCTCCTGGGCCTAGAACCGGGTTCTGGCTCCTTACTTGGCCCCGCTGCGGTGGTCTAGTGGCCAAGGTACTCGGCTGCTGACCCGCAGGTCGCGGGATCGAATCCCGGCAGCAGTGGCTGCATTTCCGATGGAGGCGGAAATCTTGTAGGCCCGTGTGCTCAGATTTGGGTGCACCTTAAAGAACCCGAGATGGTCAAAATTTCCGGAGCCCTCCACTACAGCGTCTCTCATAATCATAATGCAGTTTTGGGACGTTAAACTCACATATCAATCAATCAATTGGCTCTTTACTTGTGGTGAAGCACGCGGCCTTGGGCGCTTCCGTTCTTAGTTTTTCTCGAAAAACGCAAAACCTGACGCAACTGCCGAGTCCTGAAGGTGTCTGCTGCCACTCGCAACGCTTGGTATAAAGTCTGACTCTGTGTCCTGAGGTCTCTACGACACATATTGTTTAAAATTTGGGGACCTTTAAGCTTCGGCTTTAAGGGTTCAACGCGATTGCAAAATCCGGTTGCTAATGCGTCATTCAACCGGTAAGTGCATACTTATTCATTAAGTTTTGTTACATGCACACGCACACACACTAACACGCACACTGTAAATTGAACCAGCGCGCGCTATATTCACCGAATGGGCTCGTTTTTGTCGTGACACTTTTCGAACAAAATTCCTTAAAAGGGCCCTGAAACACTTTTTCAAGTAACGATGGAGTGAATTCGCTGGAAGAGCTTATTGTCTCACGAATTCAGTGCTTTAAAAATTTTAGGAATCCATCCAGTCGAGTGGAGTTACAAATGTTTGTCGCATGCTCCTATTGCGTTATCTCTTCGCTCGTCCGGAAGAAAGCGCTGGAAGCTAAGCAGAGACGGGTGGCAAGGCAAAGAAACTACCGCGCCTTGTGACCTTGAGCCCTTTCTTTTCTTCAAATGCACGCCTTTTTTGTGTGAGCGCACGCGCACGCGTGGATAAGTAGCGGCCTCTCGTGGCTATCTTAGTAACCTAACATTTACTGTCACAGACGCGCAGACGATTTCTCGCTCATAACCAACGGGGCCGACGCCAGCGGAGAGTTTTCTGCGACACGAGCTCTTTAATGCTATTGCGTTAAAATACAGACAGCAGACACGTTGGCACCCACACGTGACCACAACCACATGCAAAGTGCATGGAGGACTTTCATCTATCGCTGGCGCAAGCACTGGAAGTATCGCTCATGAAAAAACATTGAACCATCTCCCCGCAAAGAAAACCATGATAAGATAGGAAGCAGCAGCGGTGCGCACGGCGTTTACTTCAATGATATGGACGCCGACGTGGGTGCTAGAAAAACGGTTTGAAGCAAAACTCGGTGTAGTGTTTACTCGAGTAATTGGATTGGATTGGATAAACTTTTATTTGGTCCTCCAAAACACAGATCACTGTGTTGCGGGCAGCTCCCACGTGGGGACTGAGATGCCAAGCTCCTCAGCTGCCTCGCGGGCTTGGTGGACAGTCCAGAGCTGTAAACATATGTCTGAAACGCAAAGACACGGGAAGCGTGACGTTTTAAGAACGCTTGCACTCAGCTTCCTTGGCTCGCCTCTCATCGGTATTCCCCGCATGTTATCTGTCTTCACGAACGCAAGTGGCGTTCTTGACTCTCACCTCTTCGGTGTCACTGGTCCTCCACTGCGGACGATTGTGTTCAGCTTCTCACGTTCATGCTTTGTCGGTGTTGACGTCGCCATTCTCAAACGCGATCGTCTTTGCTAACCCTCCGAACGCCAGTGACAGCCAGAAAAAATACGCGCACACTAGCGGGAAGCATGCCACTATGGCGTCCTGCTCGTCGGCCTCATCGCGATTAATCAGTGGCATGATTACGCATTGTCGGCGCCACGAAATTTTCGAAGCGCGTCAGAGGAGGAGAGGTGGCACAAGTAAAATGATGCTCACATGAGTTGTAGCAACGCCGACTGAATTTCAAGGCCGAAAAGTTGCCGCAGTGACGTCAGAGGGTGGGGCCCAGGTACGCCGCGAACGCGGCGGAAAGCCTGTGTTTCATTCACGTTTTAGGAGAGCCAACGCTCCCGCTCTCGCAGCTGCTGCGGCTTGATTGGGCCGAATAAAAGATGTGGAAAAAAAAGTCTTAGTGAGCATGCTCAGTTGGGTAACTGGGCCCCCAACCTCTGACGTCACTGCGGCAGCCTTTCGGCCTTGAAATTTAGTCGGCGTTGGTTGTAGCGTCGAGTGATGAGAGTGGTGGAGAGGGTGAAGCGAGAGAGAGTAGAGCATGGCAATCGCGTGGCAGGCGAGGGAAAGAGACGTCACTGTGCACTGCTCAGAGGGCGTGAGTTACTGGGTCATGAGGTACTAGAGGGCGTGAGGTACCAAGCATGGTATTCGGCATCAGTCTGTCCTCCATTGTGGTAATAACTACATGCTTCGGAACCTATGTGTGTGGTTTGTTCATAGTACCGGATTCATTTGCTTTGTACCTACAAATTTTGTTTATCATTGTCTGAAAATAAAAAAAATCACACCATGTCCACGAAATGAATCATGATGAGTGCGGCGAATTGCCGGAGGGTTCGAACCATCCGCGAATATCGCCCAGTACATCCTGGAGACGTGACAAGTACAGTATATATGGATACAGAAAATTTAATTATTCAAAAGCGGCAGCTATACGTCACTTCCATGCCACCTTTTAAATGCTTCAGTAAAGGTGAAGTAGTGTGTCGGTGATGGGGCTTAATGGGATGTTTGCAAGGACGAAGTAGTAGTAGTTTGGAATGGGGCAACTAGGCAGACATGTACATGGGTTGCACAGACCCGCGGCTTTGGAAGCTTTGCCCCTAAAAATTTTCCAGCTGTTCAGCGAACTTTTATTTTGAAGTGACGCTAGAAATAACCGTTCCCTCGAAGAAAAACTGATTCAATTAATTTATGTTGCAGCGACGTCTGAAACAGATAGAATCTGGCTTTTACTCAGTGGCAGCAAAGACAGCAAATTGATATGATCACCAGAACTTATTATGTCACGCAGCTATTTCACAAATGTGTGCTCTCGTAACTCACCCGGATGTTCAATAACGTTTGCTTATAGTGGGGGTTTTTCTGTTATGATTGCCTTCCTGTACACGTGGTGTTACTCGAAATATTGCATTATTCCCCAAAGAACCGCTATTATTGAGGATACCGGAAATATATCGTAACATGTGCAACCCTCCCCCCCCCGCCTAAAGAATGAATTGGCAGCAGCGGTAACAAATAAATTGGTTGTGAACACTTGTATTTATGCACTGGGATTGACATAGGTCTCTTTAAAGTGCGCTATTAGGCCTCCACAAATAAAAAAAAAGATGGTTGAAACAGTGTGACACATTCTGTGACAGAACATATTGGCAAAATAGCACGTGTATGAATAATGTCGTACATGCCAAAAATGAAAAAGAGCATATGTTAGAACGTTTCGCTATATATTCCGGACTCTTTGTGCGAAGCACTAATGCTGGTTTGACCACCGTTAGGAGAACAAAGAACACATAGGAGGCTTTAAAAGGAAGTAAGTTTTTTCGCTAATTTCCGCAGAATACCACTGAGCACATGTAACTTGAGATGCCTCACCTTTGATATCAAGATGTTTTAACCGTTTACGTAGAAAAATGCTTGTCTAAGAGTTCACAAGCGGAATTCAGTAATATTTGAGTTCAGCGATTGAAAGAGTTTATGCTATATTAGAAGGAATTTCGTTTCTTTCAAGCGCAAATTACGAATGACTGTGTGCAAGTAGAAACACAAATACAACAAGCACAACTTTATTCAAGGGCTCAAGAATTGCAATAGCGACATTTGTGAGGCAGTATTGTTTTGTAATTGTGATTTCTTAGGACTGGGAAGAGCCTAGCAATTATTGAAATATTTATTGATTATACGATTAGTCATTAAGCGTAATGACGAAACAAATTGCCGTTGCTTGCACCGGAAATACTCAGGCGCATTGTTAAGTGAGGGCAAAACATGCTGACCTAGCTGGCCTTGGCTACTGCCCTTTTGTAAAACTTAGTGTTTTTTTTTATTTTTTCCTGTTCCTTTCTCTATTTTGTTTTTTGTCTGGTACATTTTCGACTTTTTATTGTGTTTCTTTTTTTCTCAATTGTTATACAGCTATGCAATTCGCTTTTACCTTTTTTATCTGTCACTCGCTCTCTTTTAGAGCTCTCTGAAGCTATCTCTCTTTCTAGGTTATACTTTACTCTATTGGCTCTTATTCCTCCTCCTTAACTCTACATCAGGCCTCTGTGTCCTCACGACCGTTTGCTACCAGCTCGCTATATTATACTACAGAAAGCTATGGCATGCCGCACTAGCGTGTCTACATAAACGACTGTTACAATGTTCGGCTTCGGATTGACGTACTTGGGCTCTAATGCTACCCGGCGAAGAAATTTTCACCACACAACTTCCTTCTTTCTCTCTTATTTTGTGTTTTTTCACTCTTTTTTTTTTGTACTCGTCTACTCGACCGTCAGGGTTATTGTATATAACGCTCAAGAAGACGGCATACGTGCTCCAGGAGCAAAAAACAGGATGAAGAGCACATTCACGCTAAACAAGACGATGAAGAGAGCACGCACCAGTTCGTGATGTCAATCTGCCGCTCAGATCTTGGCCCATCCCCCTTCGTGTGTGAGCGGCATCACTAAGAGCTCATCATAACCAGCTTCATCATTTCTGTTTACAGCGAACGGACGAACAGCTGCGTTTAGCTGCTCCGTTGTTAGAAAAGTAATGAATTCTCACGCTGTAACTACACTCACAACTTGTTGATTGTTTAATTAGGTTCAATACTGAAATCATTCTTTTCTTGTTCCTGCCAAAAATGGTGGGCTTAATAACACATAGGAAATCGCAGTGCCTACAGCAATATGAAAATTTCTGCAACCCGTAGCACGTGGGCTCAATAAAGTTATATGTAACTACACTCAATACACACAACGTCCAATTCCTCCGAAAATCAAAGCCACATTCTTTTACTTCTGCATATTTCAAATCAAGTGGGCAAAGCACTTTGTGAACAGAAACTTGAACCTTGTGTCCTAAGGAAATAGTTGGAACTGAAAAATTTGCGCCATGATAGAAGTGGTATCCGCACAGCAAAAGTAGATACCATAAGCGTATCGGAAATGAGACGTACTCAAGCTAGGATAATCAGACGAATCATGGACTTTTGAGGGGGACACAAATCAAATTAGTCCAGGAATCACGTAGGGGCACAACAAAAACTGCGCAGCTTCTTTCCAATATCCCTGAGTGCAATGGCTAAAAGAAAGTCTGAAGCAGTGAGTCTTGTTAATCTTTGTGATGAACTTGACTTGGACAAAAGTCACAGTTTTGCCACAAGGGTATAGCAATAATTGCGCTTTGAAAACTTGGAATGTCATTCGAAGAGCAGCAACAAGCTGGACACTTGCTGCAAGCCGCTCGAGCACGCACAGTACCTGCAAGGCACACAAACACACACAGAGGACAATCTGGACATTCGAAGTGTGCTGCTGCAGGAACCCAAAGAAAGACGCCCGAAAAGAACGCACAGGTATGCACAGCATGAGCGCCAATTGACACGATGAACTAACGCAGACTTTAGCTACTCCAGCTAGTAACTCGCTCTTTCAGCGAACGTGTCTGCTTCAACGAGTGAAGTTACCTTCGTGTGGTCGATAGCGTGAACGTAGACTTTGAGGTGGAGGCACAAGACGGACGAACCTACGGTGCAGGAGCACACCACCAGATGACAGTGACCATGCCCCGTAAGGCCATGCGCAAGTCAGGCGTGCATTCAAACTTTTGCAACACACAAGTGCAGTGACGACCTTGTGAAGGGGGCCCTTCGAACTTCCTCGCTGGTGACAGTGAACACACTCAAGCACCCTGAGCTCTGCATAGCACAATAAATCTCTGCGTTCTATGGTGCAGGACTAATAATTTGTTGAAATCACAGGTGGATCGGGCCACCGTTTTCTCTGAAGTGCACTTCTTCAAGTTTTCACCTTCAATACGAGTGAGTAAGTAAAAGCCTTTTCACACTCCTTGATTTTGAAGTCACCGACAACGCCCAGACGCCGAAAATTGTTTGAAAATTGCTCAAGAAGCAGAGAAAACCAACATTTCAAGATTAAAAATGTGCTGCTTTGCGGCCATTACTCTAACAGCGCCTCAATATCGGCAAAACACAAAACCTAAAACGTGTGACATGACTCAGGCTGGATTCCAGTGTCTGGGGTGTCCTGGGAACTCCCCGCGTGTAGGAAAACCAATTGTTGCTGAAACTCTGGGCAAAATGAACGGAAATCGTCGTTTTTCTATGTGTACCGGGTGTCTTTCGCGCCAAAACACAGGTGTGCACATGTTAAATTGAGACAAAGTTGCACAAAATGTGGCACAATTTCTGACCTAACTGTGAAAGAACAATAAGTTTAGTATCTGTGTCCAAAAGAAAAAAAAACTACTACTGTTAGAAAAAATTACGCTGCTCCTACGTTCGCGAAAAATCCGAAAATCGACACTCCCCTCAACTGCAGCTGAGACTCTCCACAAGGTAGCCAGGCAGTGCACACCATCATCATCATCATCATCATCAGCCTGACGACGTCCACTGCAGGACAAAGGCCTTTCCCATGTTCCGCCAGGCAGTGCAAACACGTTGCGCTAGATAAGAAAGATCGAGGTTTATTTTGTTTTTTGCTCAAATTAGAGCAAAACAGTCTGTATACTCTATAAGAACATAGGCTCGCTATTTATTGCACAAGGACCACGGAAAAGAGAGACCCTGCAATAAATACCCGAACTTGAATTTCAAAAAAAAAAACTCAAAACGATACCAAGTGGAAACTTAATGGGAAGGTTAAAGGGCATCATTTTCATAAGTGTTAGCTGATCGTGGAGAGAAGAGGTCAGTTCTGTCCAAGTTCTCTGAGAGCGACAAAACCACAATGAAGACGCTGATAAAGATCTTGGTTCTAACAGGGGGAGATGAGTCAGTGGCACAGTAATACATATCCAAGGCACAGAACAGGTCAATATGAGAATCCTAGTGATAGAACAGGTGCCACAGATAGCTTTTTAAAAAGGCAGTATTCAAGAAATAGACATAGTCATAAACAACAGCACAAAAAGGCAATTCTAAACACCCCTACAGCCAATAAAATACCACCAATCTATACTTTAGTGGTACTTTCGAGTACTCTGGCAAAAGGGAGCTGGTCACTGCTGAGGTGTCAAGTAGACCGTCTCGACTTTGTCGTTGAGGACGCCACCATTCGACCCGGAAGGGAGGGCATTGTCGTCACAACAACGTCAAAGTAAAGCTCTGAGAAACTCCTTTGTGCAATGGAAAGTAAAAGAGAACTGAAGAAAGTCTTAACCATACCCCCAAAAGAGAACAGGATCCACACGAATGCATTCGGATAACGTTGTAGACAATGAAAATCTACCAGTCTGCATACTCAGTCAAAACCACCTGGTATGCTTTCAAGACGATATAACAGTCAAGAAGATGTGATCAGGTGGGCCAAGGAGGACCATCAAGATGGCTATGAACCGAGCCGGGATGAAAGCAATAGCGGTCGACCAGCGTCGAACATCTGGTAATCTTGCTGACGATATTTGACGTGTTTGTCTGGCTTGGTGCACGTAGTGTGCCTCAGCCGGCCACATCACCCCCAATTTCAGTGGCCTTGCAAAGTTGTACCAGCTGCGGACAATGGGCCTACCAGCACAGGGAGTGCGAGGCTGAGGAATGTTGCAACGCATGTAAACCAAAGAGAAACAGAGATTCACCAGCTGGTGACGTCTTGGAACTGCCCTGTACAAAAGTGTAGGAAGCGCAGAAAACCATCATAGAGAGAATCAACTAAACGCTTCAGGACACACACAAAATCACTGCATAAGACGCAGAGACACGAATCATTCAAGCGAAGCTGGTAGATCTTATAAAGTCTATCACTAAGTGATTTTAAAGAAGCGGAGCACTACGACATTTTGGCACTACAGGAGTCGTACGCGTCGATTAATAACTGATTTTTTTCAACAAAAACTATTAGCGAGTAAGAAAGAAACGAAGACTTCTATAAAAATACACACCGGGACTGTGAGCACTTTCTCAATGAATATTCAAGAAACCTTGATTGTACTAAAGACAATAAAAAGCTAATAGAAAGTACTTATTCTAAACTGCTGTTGCCCCAGAATTTGATTTTAGAACCGGCAATTTCGGCAATATAGAGCATCAAGAACACCTTTTCAGTCATGAATGCACTGATAATGGTAAATTTCATTTCAAATAATCAAATATCGGGCAGATTAGCAAGGGATTACAAACTGGATAAAAATTACAATTTATGGTGTCATACATTCTTGATTTGCTGAATTGGAAAGATTCACCACCCACCTACAAAACAAGCAGAGCGAAAGGACGAATGAAATTCGCAATATTCATCGCATCTATGTACAATGATAATAAAGCATGGGAGGTGTTAAAACGGATCAGAATACCGACCACGGGTT